CCCAGAAGAGAAGCTTACTACCAAATCTCGAATTTGTCTGGACAGTTTTTTTTAAGTAATAGAGCCAACTCCAGACAGCGGCTAGACAGTCCGTGCGAGTCTGTAATGCTCCACGGACGGCGGAAACACGACACGCAACAGCAAAGGGTCATCCCGAAGCCGACTGTAACCTCAGTTCTACCTTCTGGTAAGTTTCAGACTCTTAAAAAAGTCTGGATGGATAGCACGTAGTTCCTAATGAATAAAGAAACGCGCAACACCGATATCAACGTTATCGGGTGCGTTTTGAACACACAGTGACGTTACAGTCAGAAACGTGTATCCACGTGGGATGAACCTGTTCAAAATAATCAGCAATTTGACGGTCGGTAAATCGCCGCGCATCAGCCGAAATCTGCCTCATTTCGCGTCTGTAGGATTGAATTGCGAACCAAGAGCTGACTAGCATCTTCCACACAACTATTGGCGAGCTGATGGAAATGCCAAATGGCAGCTGCCCAAAATATTTGAGTTTGTGCATTTGTCTTCGTATGCAATATCATGATTGCTTGGTTGGTTTGGCACAATTCATAAGATTACTTGGAGTGAGCATTTGCTGAAAATTTAGTAAATTAGTTTTTCAGGAGATTTGCCAATTTCAATGTGAAGAACTTTCTGGTTCAAATTGCACTGCAGCACAGGTGTCGCTGCTATAGATGCATTCCGAAACGTTTACGCTGACATGGTTTGTTCCTGTCCCTGTACCTCGGCAAACTGCTCACAATTTCCGTTGCTGACGCCGCTGGGCCGACTGCAGGACGGGTCTGTTTAGCCCAGGACATCCCTGTCCTGGGTGCTAAATATGTGGCGCAACAACATGGCTATGTACATGGCCGTCCCTATGACTGAACACATCTTCCCTCTGTCAGGACAGGTTCATGCAGGCTTCGTCTCAGGACTGACGCGGCTGTGCCATTGCAGGGCGGGTCTCAGGCTTTCCCTGTCCTTGGTGCTGAAAACAACATGGCTGTAGCCACTGAATCAAAGACAAAAGTCAGCACCAGAGACACGTCTGTTTTAGAGTAGCCGTTATGACTTGGGGCTGCTGCCGTCTACATAATTCTTATGCGGGGATGTTGCGAGCAGTGTCGCTGTACCGCGTGTTCATCACCAAGGGCTGTAAACACTCCGATTCGCTATGACTGAACACATCTTCCCGCTGTCAGGACCGGTTCACGTAGTCACGCCTCAAGACTGACGCCGCTGTGCCGGTACGCGCCGCGGGGCGTCTGCAGGACGGGCGGTTTTCGGCTTTCATGACGAAAGTTCAGCCGCTTCAGGCTATCCCTGTCCTTGGTGCTGAAAACGCGGCGCAACAACATGCCTCTCGAAAACAAGGGCTGGCAGGTCTGTATAACTACATACAGGAATAGGGATAGACAGGACAGCCCTTGTTTTCGAGAGTCATGTTGTTGCGCCGCGTTTTCAGCAGGTTGTCCCTTTTCTTGGTATGACCATCCCTGTCCTTGGTGCTGAAAACACTACACAACACTATTCTCAACACTCCTGAAAGGCAGTCATACAGGCGTGTCGGCCAGGCTATCCCTGAATACGCGGCTCAACAACTCTGCTCTCAACACTTCCGAACTGCAGTTATACAGACATGCCAGCCAGGCCTTCCCTCTCCTTGGTGCTGAAAACGTTGCTTTAGTAAAAAAAAACTAAGACGGCAGAGACACAGCGTGGAAGTAATTACACATCTGGGACTGTGGAGAAGTGACGCCTGATGTATGGATGCGCCATACAGTCTGATAATGAAGCCTGACGTCGTGCTGGATAAATACAGAAGCCCAACATCATCTAGCGCCAAAACTCTACTGACATCATCTAGCGCCCAACAAGCAAACAAGCAAAGCAAGGACGCTGCTATCAGATGTAGTCTGTCCTCCGCCGAGGCCCCCGTTAAAGAACTTCAACTGACCTGGTGACTAACTGCTAAGAAACAGTAGAGACATGAGGATTGAAAATGGGTATCAGACGGAGGTAGAAGAAATGTTATCATGAAAGTTCATCTGTGTTGGTAGTAACCATAGTAAAACGTTGAACTCAATTCCAACACACAATTGTACAGGGATCAAAATTCAGCTACCACTGTCGCCTTCATCAGGATGATTAATAATGACCAGTGGTCGCTGAAAATTTGATCCCTGTGCAGTTGTGTGTTAGAATAAACTTCAACGTTTTACTAAGAATAAATATTGATCAGTGGAAAGTCACCATACCGTACATGTCCGGAGTATTTAGTATTCTACATGTGTAACCACAGTTCCACACGGAACCGGGCTGCACAGGAGCCCCGCGGAACTTAATCAAAATCAATGAACAGCTCAGGACGCGTGAAGTGAAAGAAAGAGGAGAGGACTAGTTTTTAAGCTGACTAATGTCCAGCCGCCTCAGGCTATCCCTGTCCTTGGTGCTGAAAACGCGGCGCAACAGCATGGCTCTCAACACTTTCGAAAAGAAGGGCTGTCCTGTCTATCCCTATTGCTGTATGCAATTATACAGAACTGCCAGCCAGGACGCGTGAATTGAAAGAAAGAGGACGGGACTAGTGTTTTAAGCTGCTACCGACAACATCAGTACATCGCGTTACAAAGAAAAGAGGGTTGAGTATTCCGCACAACAGGCTCATTCATGAATATACTGGCCATAACAGTTTTCCTGGGTAGGCATGCATGCAGTCCACATATGCAGACACACACAGAGACAGACAATCACACACACACACCAACAGTCACACAGAAGTACTACAGATGACCCAGTCACATGCACAAAATGAACTAGCCCTAACGTAATAACAACCCAGTCCTGACTAGGCCTGCAGTACGCACGATCTAACCACCCGGGAACGCGGAAGTAAGTTGGCCACACTGTGCTTCTGTGGTTTATCATAAATTGCACAATTTCACTCGCACTTCATTCATAAAAAATCGTTTTAAACGGTATATAAGACTAGACAATATAAACTTAAACACTTTCAGATTAGTGACAAGACCATAGCAATGCTTACAGTTGGTATTTTGTTTTTGATGTTTCAAGGCCGACTGAAGCCTAAACGTAAACGTAAACATAAACAATGTAAGACATGATTGTTTTGAAATCGCCCTGTCGGATTTGGAATGTCTCCGTTTCATATCGCCTCATCCATGTTTGATGTGATTCGCGCCATATGAAAACATCTCCAGCCGGCTCCGGTTCTTTTTTTCCGTTGGCGGATATGAGACCCTGGCGGATATGAGACCCTGGCGGATATGAGACCCTGGCGGATATGAGACCCTGGCGGATTTCGGCCGTGGGCGGATATGAGACCCTGGCGGATTTCGGCCGTGGGCGGATATGAGACCCTGGCGGATTTCGGCTGTGATGTTTTGATTCCGCCCTTTGTTGCCTGACGCGCCGCTGCCCTCAGGCGGGTTTCTGCCAACGCGACAGCGTCAAAACAGAACATCCCGTAATATCTACAGCAGATCTTTGGTGGTTACAGGACTTATCAAATGTGCAGGTCAGCATCAAATGCATTGGCAAGAAATCATTAAAATTATCAAGAAAGTATCAAACAGTTATCCAGGCAGTATCAGACTGACCGGACAGTATCTAAATCGCCTCCATTTGGATATGGCAAAAATAAAGATGTCAGAACGAAAAGAAAGCCCCATAAAACACGTGAAAACTAAGCGTAGCCTCTACCAGGCATCGGGAAGCGGCTGGTAGAGTAGAAATCGGCCAAATAGAGAGTTAATGTGCCGATTTTTAATCTTTCCAGCCGCCTCCCGAAGCCTGGTAGAAGCTACCGCGGCGGCACCCAATAACAGAACGTCGTGGTACAGGGACGCGTTTCCGCCTCCGTTCTTCGCTTCTCAAAGCCGCGGCGATCCTACCCGAAGAATTGATGACTCCAGCCGGCGGAAATTTTGTAATATACGCGGCGGCCTTGTGCATCAGACAGGGCCGACTTTATAATGTGATTTTACGTCTGATTATCCAACATGTTGACATGCGCGCTCGGCAGACAGATGTCTGCAGGATGGAGTCATCGGCAGCAGAACGTCTCTTCACCTCCGGAAATAAATAACTCCCCAACCTAGAGGCGTGTACATGATGGGGGAGGGGGGGGGGGATAAATAACTACCCAACCTAAAGGCTTACACATAATGAGGCTAATGATGAGTACCTACTCTCCAAGTAGAGGTTGTGGGGGAATGATCGTTAGCTTTTTATATATGGCCTTTTTTTTATCTAATGACAATGCCCCAACTGTGTTTGGTGACAGCAAGGAGCTTGTGATGAAAGCTCCTTGGTGACAGCGAGTTCCACTCTGCGATAGTTCTAGGAAAGAAAGAATTGCGCCCGTAACTCTGCCTGTATAACGGCAGAGACAAAGAGGAGTGATTTTTGAATCCCTTTGTCGTTAATCCGAGAAAATTCACCTGGAATTTGAGGGATTTAAACAAACAAATCCCGCATCAACATGCGCACGTGGACCTCCCAGCATGCCTCACGGCACGTGGGGGTCCCAGCAGGACCGGGATGGTTACAGGGCCGCCTGCGCATGCGTGAGTATACGTCATTACCTGGGGGATCGACCGGCTCGCCTGTGGCGCATATATTACGCACAGAACGGAGGGTCTGTATGGCGTTTTCCGTAAGGCGTAATCAGGCCTTTTTAGTCTTCGTAGGCAGCTGCCTAAAATCAACGCAATTTGTAATCAGTATATTAGTCGTAACGCGTAATTGCTCGTAATCAGCTCTGAGAATTTAACGTAATTCGTAAAATAATTCGGTGGCGAAAATTTTGCTTAATTCGTAACACGTAACCCCCCATGCAGACCCTCCCATAAGGTCACTGTAGGTGTGAGGCGCCGCTGTAAGCAGCATCAGAGCCGTGCGAAGAGAGGCACACACTAACGGCGCTCCCCCATGCAGGCCCTCCCATAGTGCCCCTGTAGGTGTGAGGCGCCGCTGTAAGCATCAGAGAACTGTGCTCCCCCATGCAGGCCCTCCCATAGTGTCCCTGTAGGTGTGAGGCACAGTACAGCCGTACCGGAGAGAAGCACACACTACCGGCGCTACAAATCCCCCATGCAGGACCTCCCATAAGGTCCCTGTGGGTGTACTGTAGGTGTGAGGCACAGTAGAGCCGTGCAGAGTGGAACACACTGTAACGAACGGCGCTACCGGCGCACAGCCGCCCGGAATAACCCGGCCTCGCCCCGGACCTGACGCCGTTATTACGGACCTGACGCCGTTATTACCTACAGGATGCGGCCGGGAACGCCGCCGTTTGCGGGATCTGCACGTCTGGATGCGAGCGTTGCGCGCGCGGCTGTTCCCGCAGTGCCAGTATTATTACCCGGAGCTTAACGACCGGCCGGGGTTTGGTACCGGTGGTGCAGCACGATGTGGCTGCGCAAAGCGCGCGACTACCTCATGGGGTCCGATACTGAGGATGAGGCGACAACTCCACCTGCCCAGCCGGCAAGGCGCGAGGTCACCACCCCGCAGAGCGGCGGGAAGGCGTCCCCCGGGCTTCCCCCCACGCCGCTGGGTGCCCCCTACCCCCCAACCCCCCTAGCCGCACCGTACCCCCCCACACCGCTAGCGGAGCCCCCGGAAGCCGACCTGAGCCACCTGACACAAGAGGAGCGGGACCAGATAGAAGCGGTGTTGGCTCGCGCTAAGGAGCTACAACAGAAGGAGGAACAAAGAGTCAGGTCAGTAATGTTACGTACCTTTTTATTATTCTTAAACATTTATTTCACAAAAATATAATAAACATTGATAAATGAGGCCGTGATGGATAGGGCTAAGGAGCTACAACAGAAGGAGGAACAAAGGGTCAGGTCAGTGATAATATCGTCCTTTTTAATTATTCTTAAACATTTATTTCACTTCAGCCTGATTCATTTATTCATTTTCCTTCAAAAATACAAATATTGATAAATGAAGCCGTGTTGGAACAATAGGGTCAGGTCAGTGATGTTACCTTCCTTTTTTAGTTTTTCTTTTATTTGTTATTTTTTACTTGAGCCTTTTTTATGTGTTTATTTTTATGTGTCGTTTTCCATGTACTGAAATATATATACATGGATACTATAAAGCTTCCCTTTCGAGTTTGTTCCATTGAATTAGATACAGCCTCCCCCTTCCAAACCCTTTCCCTCCATATCACATTACCCCCACCCCCTTTCATAGCGTAACCCCCCCTTTCTAACCTTACCCCCTCCTTAAGGTTACCCCCTCCATAACGTGACCCTCTCTTCCAGAACGTTACCCTCCCCTCCATAACACTACCCTCCCTTCCAGAACGCGACCCTCCTTTCCAGAACGTGACCCTCCCTTCCAGAACGCTACCTACCTTCCAGATCGTTGTCCTCCCTTCCATATCAATAAATAATCTTTACACTCCCTTCCAGAACGTTTCCTTTCCTAAAATTAATCCAGAACAGTCAGATAGCTTTACCCTCCCTTCCCGAACGTTACCCTCATTTCCAGAACGTGACCCTCCCATCCAGAACAGTAAGTAAGCCTTACCCTCCCTTCCATAATGTTACCCTCCCTTCCATAATGTTACCCTCCCTTCCAGAACAGATATACCCATCCCACATATACGTGATCCCAAAAGCGACCCAATCTGTTTACAGACGCCAATAACAATGGCGCAGATTTGATTTGGGGGCGGGCCGGGTATGTTAAGGTACATGACCTGCAATAACAGTACAGATGTAATATAATATTTACTGAGGACAGAGATCATTAATCTACTTCAGCTGCTGTCGTCGTTTTACCTTACAGAGGGTTGGAACAGGGCTATGTTTTGTTTGTTTGTTTGTTTCTTATAATACATTTTATTATATCTTACAGATAATTGAAACAGAACTACGTGTTATTTTTGTGTTTTTTTTTCAAATTGATTACATTTTATGATATTTCACAGAGAATTGGAACAGGATTATGTTTGTTTGTTTGTTTGTTTTATTACAGGTTACTATATTTTACAGAGAATTGAAGTAGGACTATGTTTTGTTTGTATGTTTGTTTGTTTTGGTACATTTTTGCAATATTTTACAGAGAATTGGAGCAGGATTTTGTTTGCTTGTTTGTTTGTTTGTTTTATTACAATTTTGCTATATTCCACAAAGAACTGGAGCAGGACTATGTTTTGTTTGTTTATCAAATGTTACTATATTTTACAGAGAACTGGAGCAGGACTATACCACACTAGCGGAGACGGTGGTACAACAAGCGGCGACCAAAGCGCCGACGCCCGAAGCGGCGCGGAAGTTGTGTCCGATCTGCCACACTACGGAGCTCCCGGCTAACGGCGAGGGGAGAGTCATTAATGGTGCCGCGGGGAGGGCTGCTAACGGCGAGGGGAGAGTCACTAATGGTGCCGAGGGGAGGGTCTGCTACGACTGCGAGCGCGTCGTCTGCATGGCCTGCGGTTCTCTGTCTCCGTCTTCCGTCAAAAAGGTACGTAACAGTCCGTCCTGTCTAGACTAAGCCAGACACTGCACCACTTCATCTGTACTGTACGCATGATAAGGGGATGGTGATGATGTACTAGTAGCCATGTAGGTGTGAGGTGTTCTGCACCCAGATTAATTCTTACATAGACAAGTTATGAGTGAATCCCAGTGTAGCATCCCAGTGCTGTCCCCTTAATAACGGCCCCCTCACGGACCCCAGTGTCGCATCCCAGTATTGCCCCCTCCATAATGGCCCCTCCAGTGGATCAATACGGAGCCTCATGAAAAGCGGGAGGCGGTTAAAAAATTCATCCCGCAGCGAGTGGCGATACGTCACGTCCGGGCGGCGATACGTCACGTCCGGTTGACGATACGCCACGTCCTATCGGAGACACGTCACGTCCGGTCGGCGATACGTCACGTCCGGTCCGTACCTGCGACCATCTGTGATCAGTCCTATCCAATCCACTCTGTCCTTACTTCGCTCACAACGTTACTCTTTAAACCCGTTTTAACCAATGCCGGATGTCAGAGTCCTAACCATCAAACCGATCCATTAGGGATTCAGACTCTGCATCAAAACTAGCTCATATACCCGTCTCCCCGACAGTAACCCTGGACATGGTGCTGCATAGACTCCCCACAGGCCTCCTACGGGGGTACGGATCATAGCAGTTTTTACCATATAAACCAGCCATTTAGGGACCAGACTCTGCATCAAAACTAGCTCATATACCCGTCTCCCCGCCAGTAACGCCTGGCGGAATGCGAACAGTTTAATGAAAATATGATCTCGTGTTAGATTGTAACGTTTGATAGACCCTGATATAAAACGCATCCGGGTAGAACTGTGTACATCATTCTGGTCATGTTTTCTAAGGTAGGCGGTGCAAGAGGTGTTTCATATGCTGACGCACGCATCAAACTTCTGTCTGCTTGTTTTTGGTCTCTGGTCTCGAGTCGTGATGGGCATATGCCTCTGTCTCTTATCGCATCATCATCATCATCATGCCTCCGGATTATACTAATCCGGTGAGGTACACTTGATAAAGTTACTCCAGTATGTCCTATCCCTCATAGCGGACATTAATGCAGGCCCTGCGAGACCAGTGTCTCTCTCTAATATGGACAAAAGTGTAGTATAAGGACGTCCCACTCTACGTCTCCCAGTAGGAAGCCACTGTACTAGTCTACCAGCTGGTTCGTTACTACGAACAACATGCCCTGCCAGGGCAAGTCTACGTCGTCGGACTACAGATGAAATGGGCGGGAGAGAACCATAGAGTTGTTTGTTTGTTAGATGTTGTCTCCATGAAACATGCATGGTTATTGCATGGTTTGTGTTCTAGACATAAATGCCAGTGCCCTTCTTAGGTATATCGATGAAGGTAGCTGCTGGTCTTCCTTACTTCCTCTCCCGGCCATGCCTGGGAGTCCGGAGCACCAAGTCAGCGACTATAGACATTTCTTCCTTACTCCCGAGACATCGCCCTGTAAACTTTAGCCTTCCTGTTCTAATTTTGCCTGAATGAGGTTGAAAAGTCAAACGTATCATAGTCCACGTTTATAATGTGCGCTTCTGTTTCCTTCTGTGTTTTATGTTATCAGCCTGATGGGGTTTTGACGCACGTGTATATCCGGCCTGGTACACTATCTTGGCTAAGTGTGGCTGGAGAGATACCAGTTCTCTGTTTTGACATATCCGCGTGCTGGAGGTATATAGCCTGTTCCGATGGAATATACCGGAGGCACACTCCATTCAGCAGGACAGACATTATACAGTCGGGGGTTAATCAACCCAGCTAGTAACGCAAATAGAAGTAGCATGTTTTATTTATTTATCGCTTAACATAAAAAGGTATAGGACACAGCTGAGTGGTGTGCAACTCTAGTGGTTGATGATATTAGCACAGAAAGAAAGAAAAATATAACTGACAAAGACGAATACAAGTTCTGTAACGAATAGCATTATAGCTTAAAGGTTGGCCAGCCCTAGAAGCAAAGGCAGCTTAGTAAAACTAGACCCTTTTATTTTGTAAAATTGCCAAGCTTTGATGCCAATAGTTTCGAGCCTCACCCATAACGAATAACATTACAGCTTAAAGGTTGGGCGACCCAAGATGCAAAGGCAACATTTAAAACTAGCTCGCTGTATTTTGCGAAATTGCCAGGCTTTAATGGTTTAATAGTTGAGAGTGAACCATTCGCGGATACCATATGGCTGAAAGTTTACAAACATTGCGGGGCAAACGCAGGGCGGCCGCGGGGTCAAGTGGCTGGCAAACAGACGTGGTGGGTTCTGCGCGTTTGCTAGTCTGACCAGATGGTCGCTGATTCGGCCCGATTATTGAGTTATAGCGGAATTACCGGGGTATATATTTTTAGCTGTGTGTTATAGCGGAATTACTGGGGTATATATTTGTAGCTGTGTGTTATAGCGGAATTACTGGGGTATATATTGGTAGTTGTGTGTTATAGCGGAATTACTGGGGTATATATTTGTAGCTGTGTGTTATAGCGGAATTACTGGGGTATATATTTGTAGCTGTGTGTTATAGCGGAATTACTGGGGTGTATATTTGAATCTCTGTACGACTGAATTATCATTATTCATGAGAAGCTAAAATCGCCCTGCAGGCCGCTTGTCAATCAGGTCATGAGGGATAGATGTACGGGTCAGGCGAAATAATATATAACAACGATAAAGTTTACATCATTTAAAGTACTAATGAATCCATACATATATTAGGGCTCTCTATAAGTAATGAAGCAAGGGTGCTCCCCTCTTCCCAAAATCCTAGCACCTCTCCCAAAATGTTCAAGTCTAGGGTTTATTCTTAGTATTTTCATGAATATTCGCTGGTATTTCATCAACCTATTAGGGAGCACCTCTCCGCTAAGAATTTCTGGGGAGACCCCTGCATATATTACATGGTACAAAACATGAGGGTGGCGTGATGCGCTTTATCATGTAATATCTATGGCGTCTCCATGATGTCCACAAATCGATATCTTTGAAGCATAAACAGACGCCCCCCTCCCCCTTAGCTACACAGACATCGACAGCTTTATATGCTCCCTTACCTCCCGCCATTCCCTACCACGAAAAAAATAATTTTACTACTAAAATCAAAGAACCCACATATTATAGAAGTGGGTAAATTCGTCTTCCATTGCCTAAAAAGAAGAAGTCAAACCCAGTAAAACTATAGCTTGTACCATGTATGTTGTAGAATATAGTATAATGTTACGGACGTAGATATGGTCTCACATACCACTGTATTTTCTTTCTTATGTTGTTTGTAACTGCAGTTAGCCCTCGGGCATGTATTTGCAATAAACTTTCATTATATCACTTCTACCCCATCCTACATTTGGTATCAGTATCATCAATATGCTTAATAGAGTAGATATTATCTATAGAACATTAGTGTTATATTACTATAATCCCCATGGTGCATTGTGGAGGTTTTGAGGCTTCTGTTGCTGCATTTCTGGTTGACTAGCCGTGAGATGAGCAGTCCGATACCAGGTCCTGTTGGTAAACATCGTATGTCCTTGTAGTGCTTCAGGCGGGTTTGCGTTAATGTATCCATAACTACAACTAAAGCCATACTTATAATCTCAAGCAAGGCCAAACCTACCATTTCACAAATATACGATAACAAAGCTCAAACAACGCAAACCTCTATTTTACAAATATACGATAATAACGCTCAAACAAGGTACTCGTAATAGCCAGCAACGTGCACCTACTTCCTACACCTAATGCTGTAACGTTTCATGTCTGCCCCCTCCCTCCCTTTGTCTGTCGGTACTAGAGAATTAATTCTCCAGCAGTGCGTGAATTATGCTTAATGAAGTAGATATTATCGCTAGAACATTAGTGTTATAATTACTATTAGCCCTGTTATCCATTGCATTTCCTTGTAGGTGGGTTTCTCTCATTTATAGCAAAAGCCATAGTTATAATCTGATGCATAGTCTAATTGCTGTAAGGCCAAATCTACATTCCACAAATATACCATAACAACGCCCAAACAAGAAAATAACCAGCCCGACTTAATACTTAAGAGGAAACGTATAAAACCGGGCGTTCGGGTCACAGAAAGGCCCACACGTACACTAGATACGAGATAAATCTATTCGTTTTCGCACTGTGTATAACACTGAATTGAAATCGAATTTACATGTTATACATAGAATCTCAAGTAGATAAAAAACAGTTGCAATGGATCAACTATTGTCGTTTTCAAAATGGACGCAGTTGTATAATATAGGTGGCTATAGATATATAAACTAGTATATATGTACACTTGTATAATAATGTAAATTTTACCCTACGCAGTTTGATCG